ATAGCTCTTTCAGTTCATAACATGTAAGTTTAAACTGAAATTGTAGCAGTTGCCCCTATATTCCTTGTGAAGGATAACAAGCATTCTGAGTCGGTGAATCAATGATTTCTCTGATTTGTTTCATTAACTTATCCTTGTTAAGTTGTTATTGACATATTGTACTACTCTACTACATGTCTATTGCTTTCCATGTGTTCATTAACTTTCTTATGCAGGTGGAAACTTCAAACTGTGGAAGATAGTTGTGGAACTTCAAAGTCTTCAAGCATTTTTGCATTTTTCTGTACTTGATTAGTTGGAACTTTGTATGTTAATGATTAATGAACTGTGTAATTCAGTAATCTGTATTTTGTAATATGCTAAAACTCTTTGTTACAATTTTGATCCCCCCTACTCTTTACTTTGAAATATTCACATTATTTATGGTCGTATGGGAATCAAATTATGTTTTGCAATTGTAATATTTTAGATTTACTGGTGTTGAAATTACAAATTATTTTGCAATTTCAAATTATTTTAGTTGAAACTTGAAACCGACTAAACCCGATACCCGATCCTAACCCGCCCTACCCGAAATACAATAAAACCTGAAAATATCTAAGTAAAAAAACATAGGGTAGGATATCCATATTACACATCCGAAACCCGAAAGGGTATTGGGTTCACCCACCCGCCCGACCCGAACCCGCCCGATGCTCACCCCTAATCCAAAGTGGCAGAGAAACCGAGACATCGGATGGCGTCCTCGTACCCCATCATGACCATGTAGGAAAGGTACCGAGATACATGATGTTGGGGGTCAGAAGCGCCCTTGTATGCTTCAATGACGCAGGGCTTGTAGCCCCTCGGCAACGGCGCATCCATGACCGCCCGGGTACAGGGTTCGGGTATCCCGAGGTCGGCCGTGTAGGCCCCCCCGAAGACCCTCCTTCTCAACTCGTCAAGGCGCTGTCGTAGATCTTCCGCCTCGGCCGGCGGCGGGTTCCCCCGGATAGCTCCAGCGCGGGGCTGAGCATGTCTGGCGGCACCTCCAAATCGTCCGTGCACGTGAGGTCGGGGCCCCACGTTTTGCCTCTCCATGGAGCCAGTCCGATTGCTCGCCCGGTGAGAGTGGTGAGAGGGCTCGCCTCCTTCCATCTGCATTGGGCGCCCCTACTGGGCGCCCCTCCCCGCCTGCCGATGGGGTCGGCTAAGCTGCTCGGAGACTTCTTCCCCCCTGTTTTGGTTAGATCCAGAGCGTCGCTCATCACGCCGCCTGGAGGACACCTCCACATCCGCTAGCGTCTGTTGACGGGCAGGCTCATCCACATTTCCGCCAGACACCATCTGTTGGAAACTTTGAGCCATGGTCCCCAGAACCCGAGTTGCCTCCTGTAGGGCTTCCACCCCGGCATTGAGTCGAGCCGGGTCCATGCGCGGAGCATGACATCGGCCTCCCCCCGCCGGTTGCAGACCGAGCGCTCACCTTGGGTGTGGTTGAGCATCGCCCTTAGGTCGCTGTGGTCTGATAATTGGTTCCGAAGGTCGCCTTGGCGCGCCGCCCTCCTGCCCTGTACATGGTTGTCGAGGGCACGCTGGCGGCCAGACCGGGTGGACTCCTCGGTGTGGACTGAGACATGGTCACATCAAGACGAGATTCCGGCCATCTTCCTATGTGATTCCTACTCAAGTGATGTGAGAGACAATAGAGGCTCCCAATGAAAGCACCAATGTTGGTCCCAAATAGGACGCTCGTTGGCTTTTGGGAAAGCTACGTACGACACTCAAGCAGGAATTAGGAAAGCAAGAACGGGAAAGTGCTAGGGGAATTTGGTAGCCAAGAATAGCTTCTCTATTATTTGACTCGAACTTGCCTTTTATAGGCGATTACAAATGGTAACTCCTGAAAATAATAATGGCTAACTAATTACAACATTAATACAGAATTAAATACATAATTAAGTCACACATTAATTACTTTGGCCGTTATAGTTCCTGGCTGGCAGGTTGGACGCTTGAGCTCCCTCCTGGTGGACTGGACGGTGGGCTTCCCGCTAGGATGGAGGAAGACTTCTTACCGGGTCGGAGGCAGGCTCCCGGATAGGCTGGAAGGCAGGCTCCTAGTTGGGCTAGAGGCAGGCTGCTGGTCGGGCTGGAAGGCAGGCTCCCCGTTGGCTGGGCTGGAGGGCAGGCTCCCAGCTGGGCTGGTCGGCAGGCTCCCCACCGGGCTGGGAGGCAGGCTCTCTTGGGCTTCCCGTTGGGCCGGTAGGCAGGCTCTCCGCTGGGCTGGAAGGCAGGCTCCCCGTTGGCCGGGCTGGAGGGCAGGCTCCCCGCTGGGCTGGTCGACAGGCTCTCTTGGGCTTCCGCTCCTTGATTGACCTGATCGGTTGGGCCGACTCAAGCTCTGGGTTGCTGGGCTTGGGCCTGCTGGTCCAAGTTCGAGGCCTGGGCCGATTAGGCTCTGGGCCTAGTCTCATAACCCCATCAGGGAGTGTTACTAAGATGACAATTAGTTAACATCTTGATATTAACTATAGTAGGATTCATCTTCTTTAATATTCTTCCTTGAGTATGAATTAATTCGTATTCATATTTCATATTAATATTTTGAACATTACTTAAAGGATCAACTAATTTTGTTTCATATATTAATTATTACTAGAATCGATCGACGAATACGCTTGTTAACCGTTCGATCGTTTCACGGTAGTACACTTGGGTTATTAATGCATGTGTTTCATGGTTAATAAACCAATGGGAATTAATTATGTTGATTAAACCAATAAACCGCTTGTGTTGAGGTTATCAATCTCAATCGTTTTCATCTTGATTTTATTGCTATTATCGGGTTAATATACGGCGCGTGTTCTATATTAACTCGGTAGTAAGTTTTATTAATGAACGTGTCTCGTTATTAATAACTACCCTCGATGAACTGGATATACTCCTTGATTGAGTAATCGAGAGGAAGATAATTAAAGATATAACCGGGATCGATGAACATTTCATTAAGTGGATAAAAGCAAAACCAAGTCTTCATCTCTATTAAAGTAAACCACATAAGTCGTTCATCTTAGTGTTAATTAATAAAAATCATACACAACTGAAATCCCCCCTTTGTTACTAGTTACAATATAAAAGAAAAATATTCCTTTCCCTGTGGACACGAACCTTACTTCAATATACTACGTATATTTGTTGTATTGATTATAATTTTGAGTGCACGCCACGATAAAGTGCACGTCACTCGTTCTAAATCGGGTATTTTCAAACCTAAATCAATTTTTACTCTTAAAACAGATATTTTGGCATGTGATCCAACTCGTTTTTCAATGGCTAATAAAGATGCTAAATGGAGGGCTGCTATGGCTGGGGAGTTTAATGCTCTTATTGATAATCATACTTTGGATTTAGTTTCATTTAATCCTAATAAAAATGTGGTCGATTCTAAATGGATTTATAAGACAAAGTTTAATTCTGATGGGTTGGTTGAGCGTTACAAGGCACATCTGGTAGCACAGGGTTTTACTCAATAGACTGGTGTGGATTTTTCTAAAACTTTTAGTCATGTGGCTAAACCCACTACTGTTCGCTTTGTCTTATCTCTTGTTGTATCTTTTGGTTGGAATATTCGTCAATTGGATGATAGAAATGTCTTTCTTCATGGCAATTTAATAGAAGAAGTTTATATGTGTCGGTCTCCTGGGTTTATTCATCCTCAGTTTCCTAGCCATGTGGGCCATCTTAGGAAGGCTATTTATGATCTCAAACAGACCCCACATGCCTGGTTTTATCGGTTTAGTAGTTTTCTCATGACTCGTGGTTTTGGTTGTAGCATGTCTGATAATTCTGTATTTTTATTTTTCGTCAAGGGTCTACTGTTGTTTATCTTCTTCTCTATGTTGATGATATTATTGTTACTGGTAATTCTCCTTCCTGCATCAGTACATTTATTTCTTGTCTTGATCGTTATTTTGCTATGAAGGATATAGGAGATTTACATTTTTTCTGGGTGTCCAAGTTGTCCGTTTATCCACTGGTTTTTTTATCTCAGCAGAAATATGTTTCAGATTTACTAGCCTGATTCCATCTTCACACTTTTAAGCCTATTCGTACTCCCCCTTCCTACACGACTAAGCTATCTCTCGTTGATGGGGATCTTCTAGCCGATCTTATTGAGTACTGGAGTATGGTAGATGCTTTACAATATTTAACCATTACTCGACCTGATATTACATATGTTGTTCATATGTTTCCCAGTTTATGCATGCTCCCCATACTTCACATATTCTAGCTGTTAAGCATACTTTCAAGTACCTTTAGGGGACTCCAGCTCACAGATCACTTCTTCGATCGAGTCCGACATCTCATAATTGCAGGCTTATTCTGATGCTTATTGGGCAGAAGTCCTGATAGCAGCCATCCGACATCTTCATCTGATTTTGCTATTTTTCTGGGTCCTAATTTGGTTTCAAGGAAGTCCAAAACGCAACTCACTGTGTCCAAATCTTCCACTGAAACTGAATATAGGGCCATTGCTTATATAGTTAGGACACACTTCATCTCCGGTCTATACTATTTGAACTCGGAGTTCCCATTCGCACGTCTGCCAAATTACTTTGTGAAAATGTTTCAACATCATATTTGCCCACTAATCCTATTCAACATGCTCGCAGCAAACATGTCAGTATTGACTATCATTTTGTGCATGAGCGAGTGTCCCAGGGAGATCTGGTTGTCTGTTATGTTCCTACGTAGTTCCAGCTCACTGGTATTTTCACAAAGTGCTTGTCTCCACAACGTTTTATTTTTGTTAGTGTGTGAATGTATGCCCAGATTCAACAGTCGAATAATCTATGAATAATAGGAAGAATTTAAACAGTAGAAGAGAAATTCAACAATACCTTATACCGTATATTAATAATGATGAATCCATGATGAACAATACACAATACTCGACATATAGAGAGAGAATTTCTATCTACGCGCTCTGCGAGATTAATATGCGGAAACAGAATGTGTAGAGACTTAGAGCTGATTTGAGCCATCTCAGCCTGTATTTATAGGGAGTGGTTCGAACTGCCCTATTACAATTAGGAAACGACAGCTTAGGTGTGTGGGCTTATTAGAGCACAATTAAATGGGTCTAATTCTCTCTCAACTAATCTAATTAATTATAAAGACTCATTAAATAAAATACACTTAATTTGAATACAATAAAATAATATTCTAACATTCTCCCCCTTTATGTTCAAATGTCGATGAAGCGCTAGTTATCTCTGAGTCTTGTACAATGATTTTCTATAGCCAAGTATCACTTCATAATGTCTGAGAGTTCTTCTGAAGTCGAGTCGGATACTGATGGCTTCTGCAAAGTCTCCAATGAGTGCAATCTGGATTGGGTCTTCTGGATCCTCTGAATTTTTCAATTGCAGTGCAGCTTGTTCCAGAAGTTCTTCTATGATTCAGAGCGTACCATCGCAATACTTTTGATTTTCGTCCAAGAGCAGGATCCGCTTGATGCCTTTGTAATCTTTTTAAATGATGTCTATCTCTGGATGTGTAGTGATGGCACCTTCTTCAAAATTTTCAATCCAGGGAGCTCTATTTCTCGGAACAGTTAGATTCACTTTGCCGTAATTGCTCTCAATGCCCATCTATAGATAAAAAAGAGAATAATATTTGATCTGACGCATCATGAATCTCTTGATGGCATTGAGGCCTAGTTCTTTGTCTTTCTGTGGAAGATCTTTTAATCTCACATTCCTGTATTCATAGAGCAGCTGAATCAGATCTTTAGGAACAACATGATACAGATAAGTTTCAAAGATTCTTGTACAACTCTGTTTTGTCGCTCAAACTCTATCACAAGATATCTCACTAATCCACAGCTATGAATTTCCACTGAATTGATACCTGTTATAAGAGAATCAGAATGTTTCTTCTGTCGCTCACGATGTCCATAAGGATCATTCTGATCTGTAGACATGTTCCTTAGCATCCATATGTGTCCAGAAGTTGCGGTGCCTTCAAGATGTTTCAGTCTTCTCAACTCAAGCTCATCAATCTTCTTGATACTCTTTTCATTTCTCCAAATCCTCGGTCTCAGATCCTCTTGAAATGGGACAATAATTGTGACGTTTTGCCAAGGTGTCTCGAACTTGTCTTTTATCTTGGATTCCTTGGGACATCTCTTGATCGGATGTTTAACATGATTCAGATCAAGTAGAGGATCGTCGCAGAATTCACCATGAGCTATTTCTTCAGGTTCCAACTCCATACGATCTTCACAAGCTTTCTTCTTCATTTCTCGGATGTAATTCAGCTTAGTGAGAGCTTCTTCATTGCTTATCCCTTGAAGTTTTTCTTTTTCATCCTGTTCAACCCATTCTAGCAACGACAAGTCAGCGGCAGATTAAGCTCTAACTTTCTCGGAAGTATCTCGCTTTTCTTTTCTCTTTGATGATTCCTTCTTTGATGATGAAGGTTGATTTGATGTAGGGATAAAAGCAGACGGAGCAGAAGATGTCATTGTTGCTTGAGGAACCTGTGGAATAGAAACCGAAAGGACAGGAGCGGGTAAGGTAACACCAGAGTCACAGAGACTTGCCGTTTTCATCATACTAGAGACTTGCTCGTTCTGATGGCCTGAAGCTAATGATGATTCACATGTTGCATTGTCTGGGCTACCTTCCAATCCTTGGTCTCACTACAAAAAAAATGATTTATAGAGGCAACTCTTCGAGGCAAGTTATATTCTGTTGTCCCTAAAAATATGTTTTTGCATCATATAAGTTATGTTTGCCTTTAAAAACTATCATTTGAGACAACCATATTGTGATTGCCTCTAAACCTATCATTTGGGAGCAACCATATTGTGCCTGTCTCTAAAAACTATCATTTGGGAGCAACGTTTTTATGTCTGCCTCCAAAATTTGACACAAAAGCATAACTGCCTCTAAAACAAATGCTTCTAAAAGTTTATTGAGGCAATAACACATTTATGCCTCTAAAATATATATATATATATATATATATATATATATATATATATATATATATATATATATATATATATATATATATATATATATAACGTTAACTAAATTACGGTTGTCTCTAAATGTGTGTATACACGTAATTGAATTTACATAATAAACTTAACATTTTCAAACATTATTACAGACTTATAATTATTAATTTTACTGGGGAGTAAACTTTAATTTTTTTTGCTCACCTTTAAATTCTACTCGACTTAAAATTTCAATTTATTTTAATTATTTTTAATTTTTTTAATTTTTAGTAATAAGAAATAAAATATATGAATGATATCAAGGTTATAAATTAATAAACGTGAGAATATAAAAATTGCAATTAAAAATGAATAAAAGAAGTATTACTTTTTATTGGTGTTACTTTTACTAAACATTTCAATTTGCCGCTAACTCTTTTAAGAGTATTAGTTTTTGGGGCTCAATATTTTAAGCTCCCGCACCCGCGCTCGTGTAGGAAATTAGTTTTGCCGCTCAGGAATTTTAATCGGCCAAATTTCCTTAACCCTAAGACCCAACAACCTCTTTTCCTTCCATCATTTTGGTCCAAATAATATACTCAGCGACAAAGGCAAACCGCAGCAGCAAAGGCAAACCGCAGCAGGCTTCACGCTGCGGCAAAGGGAAACCCCAGCAGCTTCACGCTGCGGCAAAGGGAAACCGCAGCAGACTCGCTCAATCGGCCAGAGAGATCCGAGATTCAATCGGCCAGAGGGATTCAATCTACTCCACAGCTCCACGCATCCGCCGAACTGCCGCGCTTCCATAAGGCTGAAGACCACAATCGAAACTCCCATATCAGCCGTGGCCAAGTCCGAAACAGTGATGATGTGAAGGAAAACCAGGCAAGCAGCAATAATTTCTCATCCGAACAGTGAGTCTCTGTCTTTGCGACTTCTCTATAACCTTATTCTCTAATCTCTACTCCATAAAGAGTGGAATAGAATAAAAAATGTAAAGCGGCACACTAACAGTAAAGGTGGTTTGCCAATTCATGCCTTTGAAATTCCTAATATATCCAAGTCAATTCAGTTCCTAATTCCTAAATTATTATTTTAAATTTATTGGATTAATATGGCTATTTGCTATATTAATATTGACATATTGTTTGTACTATATTGAATATTGATATGGGTAAAGTAGTTGTTTTGTTTAATTGTCATTGTATTTAGAAGTTTTACATTTTCTTAGAATTGGTTTGTTTGAAATTTTTGTATTATCTATAATGTTTTGACGGCAATTTTAGTGATTTGGATAAATCTAAATTTGTTTGAATGTTAATATCCTGTAAAATAAATCACACTCAGTTAAAACACACCACAATTAGATTTCAGTATTCATATAGGTACATCGCACATAATTAAAGATCGACTGGATCACTTGGACAACTGGTCGGGACCTAAACCTTATACTACTAATAGTTTTGTATAAATAGATATCAAGATTAGTACTTGATGCTATATATGTAATAATTTGTTATACGTTTTGTGAATAACTCGGACCCACATCTGAAAATAAGCCACTATTTTTTTAAAAGAATTACATATATAAGGTTTTCTGTGATTGTGAACCTGCGAGTTTACTCCTTCAAGCGATGACTGCGACCAAAGAAGGTTGCAAGTTCTGCGTTAAGCGTTTCCGTGTAAAGGCTACAAGAATATTGCCTCAAATTTTATTAATTTTTTTCTTCATCGCTTCACGAAAACCAGGTTTGGCTTAAAATTACTTTTATTTCTTTTCATATTCTTGCAAAAATGAGCAGCTGCACTGTTTGAATAATAATGCCGGTATGGTTTCTAATATATGAGCAAAGTGCTCAATTTTAATATTTTAAAATGTTCCTATTCATACATATGAATTGGACGTAAATAATTTAATTTTTTATATACATTTGCTTTATGTGATGTTTGAACTTTGAACAACATATTTGATGGGTTTAAGACCTCAATTTTTGTTGGTTTTTGTTATGATATTTGTTGATTTTATGAGTATTTGATTCTATTTTATTTTAGATTATTTTTTGTTTTCATATTAATCTGTGTAAAGAAAGGAGGCTTAACCAGTAGTTGAAGCTATAATAATACGATAGTTATTCAAATATAGTTACAAAAAACACATTTAGAGTCAATTGCATAACCATTAGTTTTTTATCATGTCCATCTGTTACATGATTATTTGAGTATGTTTTTTATTGACAAAATTTCTTCAGTTTATATATTAGTTACCCATATGATTTATCCTTCTTATATGAATATTTGTAAATCATAGAACATTATTATGGGGTCCAAGAATCGTGAGTGGATGCAGTAAAAAAAATGACCCAAAGTATAAGACCGGCGTGAAACAGTTCATAGAGTTTGCTTTTTCTCAAAAAAAAATGTGCAAGATGTGGGACCTTGTCCTTGTGTAAAATGCAATAATGAACTGAGGAAAAATAGAGAGGAAGTAGAGCTGGATTTGCTGAAATTTGGAATTGTGAGGAGTTATACACGCTGGTTACGACATGGGGAAAGAACTGACTGTTTGACAACTCATAACGATATTACACCTCAGTCAACTCAATATCCTGAATTTACTTCAATGTTTGATATGCTACATGATGCATTCAAAATGCCAAGACAAGAATATGCAGTTGGTGAAGAAGATAATGTGAGCGGATATGAAGACCCTCTAGAATCTGTTGATAAGTTTTACAAACTGATGAGTGATCTTGAGTTAGAGTTATATCCAGGTTGTAAGAAATTCTCAAAGCTTTCCTTTTTGCTTAAGTTATTCCACATTTTATTGTGTTATTACTATTCACTATGAATACTGTTTGTTTAATTTTTTAATTTCTTTTTGATCCGCGGAGTTCTAATGTTACAATAGCCGCTTTTTAATATCATTGGTGTTTCTGGTTGAGCATACATATATTTCATGTTTTATACTTTGATTTTTAAAGCCCCTTTTTATATTAATAGCTTTATACCTTCTAATTAATTCAAGCAAAGACACAAACTCATACACATGCATATATAGATAAGTATATTATAATAACTATATTTTATCGGAACATGCATGCTATAGATATGGACGAGCAACATAATGGAAACAGTGAAGATTCTATTATGGAGAAAGGTATGTAGTATGTATGTGTGTGTATATATATATGTATTAAACTCATTATAGCATGAGAGTTTTTATTATGGTTGCACTCGTTATAAGTAGATGATGAATATATGTTAAACTCGTATATATGATGAATATAGTCTTGTTCAGGATTTGAAGTGCTTTGTGTTCTTTGTGTTCAGGATCATGACATTTGGTTTTTGTGATAGAAAATGAGCAAATGAAACAGTAATAACCGCTAATACCTTGATGCCGGACACACCGCTGGTTCAAAGAGTTTTGCTCAAGTTGTAGAAGATATGGTAATATTAATATGTTTATCGTGATTTTTTTATTAATTATTATTTATCGAATATAACTATTTTTCTATCATGATAGTTCCAAAATGATCAAGTAATGCCCGGTGTGTTGAAAGTGTATCAGAAGACTCATACCAGAAGTGATAAAACTCTGGTGACAAATGTTGCTAAAGAAACTATGGTAAATTTCATATTGTCATCTATCCATGCATCTATCTTGTGTGTTTTTTTGTATATGAGTTCATTACTTGAAACACAATACATGTTTATGCCTTCTGTCGTATTACATAGTTACAGAGGTCTATGGTTTAGAGGAAGGCATACTTGCTTCCATATTGTTTATCAAATTGTTTGATATTATAGTAGTTGCATATATAGTAGTTGGACATTAGTTTCGACTATTGGAGTTGTAGTTTCATTTTGTTTGTTGAAGTTATACACTATTTATCAGGAGTAAGTTGGTAATATCAGGACTCAGGAGTAAGATTTTCTGGTGTATATGAAGATGGAAGCTCAACGTATTTATCTCTGCAACTATAGGCTTCACCTTCGGTCTTTACATCATCTTATTTAATTATGTACATGTACATGTTGGTTTATGTCCCAGCTTAGTCTGTAGTGTACCAGCCATCTGTGCTAATTTTTTCTTTCTTTCGTACATGAATCATCATATGTCCTTGGTCAAGGCATTACTTTTGTACTAGGAAAGATAAAAAAAATGACTTATTTTTAGGAAGTATTTGACTGCTTTCTTTTAGTTTAATGTTAACCCCACCCTGTGCTTTAGAGACACTTGTTTGCCTCTATCTTTGCCTAGTTTTTTATCCTATGAACTATTGTTGTGTTGCCTTCTTGGTATCAACTTTTCATGTAAAATAAAAAGTGAGTGTTCAATAAAAAAAAGTGTGGCAGATTTTACATAGTTGTAGATTTTACATAGTTGCAGGTTTTTTATAAGGTTAATTATAAACTTTTAGTATAGATTGTATATCCTACTGGTAGTAGTAAATGCAGATTTTTTATAAGGTTAATTATATCGATTGCAAGTACAGCTTGTTTCTCAAATTCTTTGACCTATATTAATTGCATATATTGTATAATTGAGTGTAGTTAAGAATAAATAAGCTTGTAGAGCAGCGTGAACAAGGAGAAATCAGCATGACAAATGAAGACATTTATGCAAAACTTAAACCCAAAGGTAAAAATGGCCGTGATCGTGGAAAGGGAGTAAGCCCGTCCATTACTTCCTTGTTTGGGTGGTTTAGTGAAGGAGAGAAATTTCGCAAAGAGGCTGAAGACGCAAAGAAGGAAGCTAATGAGGCTAAAAAAGAAGCTTACGAAGCTAATGCAAAAAATAAAATGCTCACTAAGGAGGTGAAAAATTTCAAAAAAGAAGTAAGAATTATGAAGGGTGTTATCAGAAAGTTTTTCAACCTTATGGGAGGCGATTTTAAAGTTATTTTTGAATGAGGTAATTCATTAGTTTATTTTTCATTATTTTCAGTTTAAATTTTTTTTAGTTACCGAAAATACTTGTCTACCGTTATTATATGTGATAGGTTGAAAAGGAGCATAAAAAAGTCCATGATGATGACAATAGTGATGATGATGATGATGGTGGCGGCGGCGATGATGATGCTAATGATGAGGAATGAACTTTCTTAAGCATTTATTCTAGCCCGTAGGCATACTTTGTCCCATCTTAATGTTTTTAGTAGTTGCTAAATTAACTCTGGCTAGTTAGTTTTTTCTTAAGTTGTGGAGGTGCAGATGAGTTTGAATAAACTATGTACTGGTGCAGTTACTTTTTAAGTAATTAGTTTAAGCTAAATTTTGTCTTTCTATATTATTCTACAAAGAAAGAATTTAATTACTTTGTTGATGCATGTTATTAGCTATTAATTTATTTATATATTTATATATCTAAAGTACAACAAACAATGTATGGTATATTAATATACGACAAAATGACAATGATATATGGTTGCCTCTAAAAACAATTCACAACAATATTAAAAGTTGTCTCACAATGTAATATAGCCTCTAAAAACTTTTTGAGTCATTAAATATGGTTGACTCTAATTGCATTATAAGACAACATAACATGATTGCCTCGAATGACATTTTGAGGTGAAATAATATGGTTGCCTCTAAATATGTCTTTTTAGAAGCACATGCTTTGTTGCCTCTAAAGGGGGTTTTTAGAGGCAAACACCATTTAGCGACTGAATTTTTGTTGGCAACCACTAAATTGCCTCCAAAAACCTTTAGAGGCTATTTTCTTATATTTAGAGGCAATTATGCAATGCCTCTACAAGGCAATTTTATTGTAGTGTCTACAACCATGAAGGATGAGCCCATAGAAGTTCTCAAGAGGGAACACACTCCTTGCTCAGTAGAAAGAGGCACGAAAGGATGAATAACAGTTAAGGCTAATGAGTTGTGTGGGGCTTTGGATGATGAGGGTTCAGGTTGAGAAGATGATGATGGTTCAGAGCTTAAAGAGTATGGAATGATACATTGTGAAATGGATTGCTCACACTTACGCTGCCTTTTCTCCCCCTCATGATGACCCGAGTCATCGGAGTCATCATGCTTACGCTTAGGCAAGCGCTCCTGATCACGGCAAGATGTGAATGGGATGTAAGGTGGGGCTAGGGTTAGGATGTCACTGATTTGTTTAAGATGGGGTGGAAGGTTGGATTCAGATAAGAGCATGTCAAGGAAATACTCAGATAAATCAATGATATTCATTTGTGTTGGGTCAGGGTGTGAGGTAGATGGTGTGGATATGATGGATGTGGGTATGATGGTGGTAGATGTGATGGTGGATGGAAGAGTTCCTATGGACGGAGTTGGGTGTGATCCTTGGTCTGCTACACTTGTTGGGACTACAGGACGTAGGTCTTGTAAAATTGAAAGCTTGAATGCTAGAAGCTCACACCTTACATCCTCCCTAGTTAAACTAGTGGTGCCATGGCCTAAAAGAAGTATCAGTTCTCACATCATCAGTAAAAATAGTGGTGCCATGGCCTGCTGAGGAGTTCAGTGTGGCAGGACTTCCAACCATCATAGGCGTACCCCTGGTTGTTGTGACATGTAGTAATGAGCTTGTATCAGTGTGTGCTATAGTAGGTTGTACCTTAGAAAATGATAAAAATTCTAGGATGGTGGACACATGACCTAACGTGCATTGGGTAATAGTGTGGGGCGGTTCATTGATGGGTTCCCCTATTTGGGTTGAAACAATCATCTATTGGGAGACGGTTGAGTAGTGTTGGCTCGACTCATTTTGCGCTATTGAACTCAATGCAGTGACTTTTACTTGGGAACTGACAACGTTAGAAACTGTACCTATGGGCTGAGTTCGGTGTATTTGGGTGACTGGGGATGATGAAAAAATTAAATCACTGAAGGAGGAGACATCAGCTCTCTTGGACTGAGTCTCATCCGCCCTCTTCTTTGGTTTAGTCACTCTCGGACCCTTACTTCCACTCGGTTTAGAATTCCCTTGGCTAGACACAGTTGGGTTTGACTGTGTCATAGCGACGTAAGAGATATTAACCTTGTATTCATTGACGTGTGGATCATTTGGAGCAGCAGGATTGAGAAGTGCATCACTTATAGGGAATTGGCAGCATCTCAGCGGTGTTTTCAGAGTTCTTGAAGTAAAGTAGCTGAGGAATCTCTTGCAGCTCTGTCGTTGGCCTTGGTGGTATGCTAGCATCTTCCTTCATGAAGTGATCAATCAGAATGGAGAACCAACGTACATATGGGATGTATTTGGTCTTCTTGTTGGATGGGATTTCGGGAGAGATATCTTGGGAAGGTAAATTCGAGGGTAAGGATTTCGGTTGGGACGGTTTTCGAGAATGTAATTTCGAGAGGATGAATTCAGCTGTGATTTCGGTAAAGGATTTCGAAGGGTGAAAGACAAAACTTTTTGCTATGGAGTTCAACGGTAAGAGATTGGGGTTTTGTTGGTGGTTGACGGTGGAGAGGGTGATTTCAGTGGGTGGAAAAGGTTGACGATGGCGAGGGGAGGTTTCTGATGGTCTGAATCGATTCCCCCGTCGTCGTTCTTGAAGTGTACCTGTTCACAAAACACACTAACACCCACACTCACACAAACATGCAAGAAAAGAGAAGAAAAACTTTAAGAGGAAAAACTCCTTTTAGAAAATTTAGAAAGTGTGAGAGGAGGATGATAAAAAAAACACGTTTTCTTCTTAAGTACCCGCGAAAAGGAAAGAATAAATCTTTTTGACTTTTTCTGATTTTTGGAAACTGACACATTAAAACTGACAAGAAAAACTATACTAACTCAAACTAAAAGAGCAAAAATATTTTTGTGATTTTCTAATTTAAAAAAAATGCGGATACTAAAGAAATTAAAAATACTCCCCCTCAATTGTAGCACTCAGACCAGACTAATTTTGCCCCTCCCCCCTAATGTATGCACACTTTAGAGAAACAAAATGACAGACTGTTGGAGCCGATCTTTTCGGTTCCCGGGTAGAAGTCGCAGCATCTGGCTCAACTGCGCAAGCACAACCTTCACCCAGCCACTCGATAGCCTCTCAACAGGTTATCGTTTCAAAAGAACGAGACTCAACCCCCTCACTGGTTCCTTCCGAATCAGTTGAGCATACAATTGACCTATCGCCCGAGGTCAAAACCCCTTCTTCAAGCACACATTGAGTCTAGGTGTCACATTCCCTACATTTTCTTCTTTTTCTAGGACACCTACACTATTCACTGCACATACAGGTGCACACACCCTGAAAGCAACAACCAGAGCGCAAGCTATGGCGGTTGGAAGCCCTGCTACGCCCTCAATGATTCCATCATTGCACGCAGGCCACACATCAGTAATCTTCACTGATGCTGTGACAACAGTTACAACCCCCGTAACTGGTCACCCAACATTCGAAGACATCAACGTTCTACTAAATCGCTTCCTAGATTCCACCATTAAACCATGGTTGCAAGATGCAATGACCGCACTAGCACAGGAATTTAGGACCACCCAAGCGGTTCGGTCTGAACAACCCCCACCCCAACCTTCACCTGAACCTTTCATTTCCCATACACAACCCGTATCCTCTACCCCTCTATCTCACCAATCCATCAACCAAATACCCGTCCCTTCACACTCTCGGGGAACCCAGGATACAGAACTAGTATTCTCCCCACACCCGACCACACCCTCCATCGATCTCTCCTCACTATCCTTCGACACCCTTGCATCGGCTTTGCTGGACAACCTTCTAAACATCCCCGAAGCCAAACTTACCCGTCACCAGCAAGCCATACTCGAAGCCCTCCTTTCTTCCCCCGAAACCAAGAGCAAGTGCAAGGAGAGTCCTCGTGGTCGCAAACGTTCCCATGAGGACCCCGATGATTCGGATCCTCATGAAGGGGAGAACAAACGCCCACGATCACTTGAGCAAACTGCTTTATCTCGCCAAACTTCACTACCCATCCAACCCGAAACCTCTACAAACCAACAGCCACCACCCGTAGCCAAAACATCTAGCCTGGTCGAGCTAGACTCAACATCCCGAGGCGTATCTCCTAGAGATACCAACCGAGGAGGGGATGGAATTCCTGATGATGCTACCACTGGTACATCTTTTACATCAGGCAATCAGTTAGAACCTAGTTCTAAACTGATGTCAACGGGCAATCCAAGTGAACCCGGTTGTGCTACCCAGGAACAATCACCGCCCCAACAGCAGCAAAGAGTTCCATACATTCCCCCAGGCAAGGACATCCACGATGAACTGGAGGAGGCGGTGATACATGATAAATGGCCAAGACAATGGACAGAATGGAATGATCTCCGCAATGAGGCTGAAGTAGATGACATGCAGAGAAATTGGTGGCTACGAGAGCTAATCAACAAATGTGCTGAAGATATCATCAGGCTCGAGGACGATGAACGAAAGGAAGGGGAAAATTATAAGGAATCTCAGAAAACTCTTGAATCCGTCGTTAAACAATCAGCGGGAAGACTTCCCAAGACAGAGAAACCCTGGGACAACATTCGAATCAAAGCCCCCTTCCAAGAGGAAATCAGAGAGCATATCTGGCGTAGACCAGACAAAGTCAAACCTTTGAATGAACTGAAGCTACGAGGCCTTACTCATCTAAAAGGAAAGCAGGCTGGAGGTCATCTGCATATGCCATTACAAAGGTCAACCGGTACTCAGAGAGAGCTGATGGAACAAGACTTGAAGTCCAATATTCTCTCGATTCCTCAAATTCTACAAGTGAAGGCCGAGGATTATCACAGAGTGACATTCTATACTTACAGGCTTCAACGCACTGACGGGAGTGAATTTACTTGCCAAGAGAATGATTTCATCATGCTTAAACCCGACGACATCTATCAAATGTTCATGGCCTATCGATACCTTCCAGTCAGGCAGAGCAAAACATACAGCGAAGGTCTTGCAGCAATCAAGAGATTCATGCTCAGACAGATCAGAGTACATTCTTCACATGACCTACAGATGACTATTGAGTGCAACTTGACAAAGACAAACCTTACAAAGCCAAGACTGTATGGTCCAGAACTCGAAGACTTCCCAGCTTACCACATCTTCTTCACACCGCCAGCAGTCACTTACCTCAACCACAAGAACGAAAAACGTCTGATGGTGGTCAATGAAATTGAGAAGTACTGTGACGGAACGCTGAAGATAATCAAAGAACAGCTTCTAAAGATGAAGGCACATCTAGAGGAAAATCTTCAGGAGCCATCGTCATATGTTCAAAAGGAACACTCTACAGTAGAGACAATTTTAAAGGCCATCGACGATCGCCTAGAAAAGAGAAATATGCTAAGGCA